CATAACATCACGCCTTTTATCCTCGAAGGGGTAGGCAGAGGTGCACATTATACCACTGTCCCACTAGTCCCATGTAATAGGGGTGAGCCTATTACCATATACCGGCACAATTCCAGACTCCGTGCTAATACTGAGATTTTTTAAAACCCAGTAATACATTGCCCTACCCGGGAATCGAACCCGAGACCCCTTACCCGGCAGTCGCAATTGCGACCACTCGGCCAACGAGGCAGTCATTTACCATTATAGAATAAATACATTCTGCAATCAGTAAAGATGTCAACATGATCAACAGCCTATAAGCAGGGCCACTGCTGACCAAACCCCCTCACATGGAGAAGGTTTGAAGATTAATTACCACGCTTTCTCAATGTGGGTTGGCAAGTTCAAACAATCATATATAAATAAAAAAATTATAAGCCCAGGTTTCCTCACGACGTTTCCCTTCACCGTTTGTCAGTGGCGTCTAAACAATTGTATGTATGTAGCAATAAAGATGTACTGTACGTATAAATATTATCACATTTTTATATACTCTAAATAAATGCAGACAATAATACGCATATTTTAAGATAAATACTACATACATACAAATCTAGCTATTATATACATTACCTCTATACAGCTATATATATTATCTGATTGCAATCCAGTTTTCAATTTCAACTTTGCTCTTTTAATATTATTGATAACATTTCAAAATATTATTTTATAAAGCTATTACCTTTTTTATTTTTCCTTGTGTTCATTTTTGTTGTATATATCTTAGTTTTTATCCTTGATTTAGTCCCAGTTATTTATATTCATAGTTTAGATAATTATAGTTTAATAATTTCATATTTTTATACATGTGTTTTTAAGTCTCAAAAATTTCCAAAATGACTGTGAAGATGCGATGCAGCTCTACTGTCTGTCTACGGGTAAACTATACACCTTTTCCACAAAGAGGTTTTATCATAAGATCCTCATTTGGCAGGTGGGGTGGAATCATTGAAGATTGCAACTTTCCTTTATAAACCTGACGGGTTTAGGTTTAGCAGAGAGTGCTGTAGCCACATCTCCGACATTTTGTGTTGAGGATCACGACCAATCTTAGTAACTGTTCTTTGGAAAGTCTTGGATCTTTATGATACCCACTGTAAGAGTAAAGGTGGTGTAAAAACGATTGTACTCTACTACTATTTTTTTTAAGGGGGAAAATCATCGAATGTCTGCTCCCGCCAGGGTGAGGCGGGAGGGAGTGTCAGACTCTTACTGACTAAAAACCACCCCGTTCCTTCTCCTGCGCTTCGAGCCGGAGCCCCGGTAACCCGTTAGGTTCTCCGCGACTTCTCTACTACTTATAAAGATAATTTCATCTCATATAAATATTATGTTAATTTAGATTTGTAACTGCAATTCTTACTTTAATTTAATCCTCGCACTGCGTAATTAATGTAACTGCTTGCTTCATTTAAATGTGATTAAAATAAATGCCACACTCACAACTTTGGTTAACGGTTTTTAGTTTGGGTTATATTCCATTGATGTTAATATCAATTTTATAACTTGTTGCTACTTTTCCACTCGCGTGGCTAAAGAACAATGGTCTATGTCACTCTTCAACCTCTTCACAGATACAGAAATTATAATATGACTTCTTACTGACGTTTGAAAAAAAACAAATGATACGATTTTTTATGTCTCTATAAACACAATGTACGGTTGGGACCGATGAGCCTATTGAGTAGACACCCCCCCCCCCCATACTTGGTGTTAAGCTTAAGTTTAATTATTTCTTCAACCTCTTCTCAGATACAGAAATCGTAATATAACTTATATATTATCTGACGTTCGAAAAAAAATGATACGTTTTTTTCTCTCTATATACTCCATGTACGGTCGGGACCGATGAGCCTATTGAGTAGACACCCCCGACCCATACTTAGTGTTAAGCTTAAGTTTAATTATTTAATTGAATTAATTATTTATAACTAACATTAGTCATAAGAAGATCAAAATTCAAAATTGCCGTGCCTATAGACTTTGTGGTGTGGAAATAAATGATTTTTATTTTTATTATTTATTATGTCTATTCTGTTATCATGTATGACTTATTATGTCTCACATATGAACGTAATTACGTGCATGGTCTGACATGACAAGAAATCCATATCTGCAAGTTTAACATAGGCTGAGAGCTTACTTGATAATCGAGACTACCTTAAGGAAACTAGTTACGACATCATTTCTTTAGCAGAACTAGTCTCAAGAAGTGGATTCCCATAGAGGAATTCAATAATAAGAATAGACTTATTATACTCTTTGACATCTAGGCCAATGAGCACCTCAATTTTTTTATGATTGTACGAAAAGTCATAAAACTGTCATACTGTATACTTTTATGTGCATTTATTTTATGCAATCCGAATATCCTTTCACCGAAGTGCAGGTAACAAAACATAATCTATATTACAGTACACGAAAAACAATTAATCAAACAAAACATAAGTAAGTACAATTAATTTAATACAACACAATCTAACCCGAGGCTGATAGATTGAGAACCTGATACATCAACACTCGGTATATTTTACCCCTGGGAATCACCCTAAAATCAACAATTATTATTTATTCAAATGGTTCCCATAAAGCCAGTCTGATTGACGAAAGATTGTAATTTTAGTAAACGAACTTCATTAGATATCGCTTTGCTAAAATTGTCGGCCATTTTATTTGATTATTCTATTTTTCGGGTAAATAATTTTCATTAAAACTTTGGTTATGGGAAACTGTCGAAAGTCAGTCCTTTGCTAATGCCCGCCATTTTCCCCCATGGCTAAAGCAGATTAATGTATTTACCTACTTAAGTAATTATAAACTAAATTATTTTTTTCACTTAGTCCAGAAAGGCACTTTTAAACATCAACAAAAAAAGTAAAGCTACATCATTCATATCATATCAAGTATAGATTCCTATGGAGAAGAATAAGCAAGAAACTCCATAGGTTACTATTGTTGCATCAGGTTCATAATACAATTCTTTTGTTATATAGTTGTGTCGGTTCAGTTGTATGAGAACAATGTAACACCAAAATCCAGTCAAAGAGATTGAAAAATAAAATAACCCTAAGGACAATGAATGATAGTCTAAATGAATGTGTAATTATTGTAATAAATATATAATTATAATATTGGTATCTAATATTATAATTATATACAGTAGATACTATATATAATTAATTTAAATAATGTAAACAAATTATCAGCAGTAGAAAATAAACATAAACGCACAAAAGGTAACAGCTACAAATATTTCGAGCATTTTCTAATTATTTTCTTGAATAAACATAAAATAAAACAAACAATAGCATATAGTAGTTGTCCTAGAAAGGATACAGACAGGTATTCAAAATAAAATAATACATAAGTGAATAAATGTATAATCAATACCGTCTCGTTACTTTTTCAAGAATATTCCAGTAGGACCAACATAAAAAAAACAACAAGACCGCAGGCAAAATAATCCAATACGCTATGAATAAACCAGTTTTTCAGTTAATTCCGCTTCCATCTAAATTATTAATTTAATGTTATTTATTACCTGTTTATTCATTTATTTATACATATTTTATTGACCAACAAACAAAATGGTCACATAACTTGTATTTTACATTCATACTTACATATATACATACAGTTTTTTATTCTTAGGAATGTGATACTATTCACAACTTTATTCTATTTATTATGACGTTTATTACTATGAATTGTATTTTGTATATTTTCAGATGTATTTTTTTAAATGTCACAATAAGTTTGAATAAACTTAATTATGTATTTTATTTTATTTAGATGTCAATAGTACTTAAATTTTTTGTAGAAATCTGTATCATGATGCTCGTATCGTGTCGTGTGTCTTGAAACTTTTATATGGTTTGAATTTACAAAACGACAATATATAAAATGAAAGCGTATTGCGTGGTTTTGATTCCTAACTTCCATTTCTTGAAAGAAAGTAAGTGTGTTCTTACTATTACTCCTCCATATTTTTAGCACACACAACCCAAATCTGAATAGTACTAAGAATGTGAAAAAAATCAAAAGTACTATTTAACTGACGTTGTATCCAAAATTCCTGGCTCAATACAGTCACGCTTGCTTAAGAAATTGTGTCATATTGTTTTGCTAAAATTGCAATTACCTGTGCATGCGAGCACGTGCGTTGCACCGCCTATATCACGCATAAATAAAATGCTGATATCAAAATCAGCCTACAAACTGCTTTGATTTCATAATTTCTAACTGACAAGTCTGTTAAACAAATAAGTAAATGAGATTCGTACTTTGTACGGTTGCATGTGGCATTTTAAAGTTAATGTATGATAGTGCTAGTGCAGTGGTTAACAATTGTCGAAATTATTCAAATATTTTTGTAAATTACTCATTCGCAATTCAAGTTCACAACAGTGGAAGTGTTAGAAAATTGCACATAGCAACACATGTTTTACCAAACCGTAGTAGGAAGTTGTTATAATCATTATTATTAATGGGTTCAATGAGATGCGAGTCAAGAAATAAATAAAAACAATCAGTGTTTGTGTCATTGGACTATTTAAGTGGAATGTGTAACGTAAAATTAAACATATCGAAGGCTCATTGAGACCAAATCTCGGTCGGCACGTGGTAGCTAGCGTGGACGACGGCAAAGCACCTCACTAAGCGGCCAGTCCGACTCATCTGCTTCCAAACAGTCGACCAATTACGTCGTCTCGAGAAAAAAAAACAAAAAAAAATGTGAAAGGGTCTTCTATAACAATAAGTGTTCAGTAACGTGTTAAAATAATATATTTACAATATTATCAGCTTGTGTTTGTGGGAAATCCGAAGAATCTGTTTACATTTCGTACCCTCAATAAAGGCGTTATAATTTAAGCTTTGAGCAAATAGCATCTGTACAATTGACGATAACATAAGATTTATAAAACCGCTACTTCGGGGAGAGAGGTAGGACTGTGAGAATGGATGTGAAGGGCAAAATTGTTGAGTGCGAGGATGTGGACTATGAGTACGTGCCCCCTGAAGGAGGATGGGGGTACATGGTGTGCATCGGCCTGTCTGTTATATTCGTAAGTAATGTTTTTTTTTTATTTTATTTTGGCTATAGTTGAGATTTGATTTTTTTAGGTGAAGACTTTTTGCGAATTTGGATTTGTCGTGTGATGAGATGGGCATTTTTAAAGATAGTATATCAATTTAATTTGAAGTACAGGACATCAATTATTTATTACTTATAAAATTTACTTTTCACCAATGATTAGTGAAAAGTTTATTTTTAAAGGGTATTTTATATGATTTTTATTAGTATTATAACTTTACATAACAACATCACGCTTTTTATCCCAAAAAGGATTGACAGAGGTGCACATTACGGCACTTAATGCCACTGTACAATGTAGCACCCATTTATCACTATTTATGTTACGAGTCCCATGTAATAGGGGGTGAGTATATGGCCATATACCGGGTACAAATCCAGACTTTGTGCTACTACTGAAATCTTATTAAAAAACCCACTAATATTTTGCCCGACCCGGTAGTCAAACCCGAGACTCCTTGCCCAGTAATCGCACTTGCGATCACTCGTCCAATGAGGCAGACTTTAGATTTTATGACTTTAAATACCAATATATCTTTTTTTAAATAACTATAGTTTTTTCTTCTCTTATAATATCTTCTGATTCACTTCATTGCGAGAACCAAGACAGTTATTCATGTATCTGGGCCGCGCCAAACTTCAGTGTTCCGGTGTTTTCATGGTTGTATCTACTGTAGATCCTGGCTGACAGGAGTTGCAGCGGCTTTGGGAGGTTGTGGCGGCCTTGACCCATAATTTTTTTTTAATATTGCACAAGTTTATAGGTACCATTTAATATTATATTTCATTAGATTTGAATAAAATTAATTATATTTAACAAAGTTTCCAGTCCACATACTGGTATGCTACTATATAATGACTTATTAATAGCCGATTCTTTTTAATATAAAATACCTCAGTCGATTACAATAGATAATATTAAAAAACCATTGGCGGGTGAATATCCAATTTATAATATTATAATAGAGAGATTCGTTAGTCATTTAGTCACTAATGTGGTAGCAAAATGACTTGGTTTTGATTCTTGTTTATTCAAAATGTATAATAGACATTCTTTATTTGTTGACCGACTTCGAAATGAAAAAAAGGAGCTTCTTGAAGTCGGTTTTTCAACTTCGTTTATAAAATAAATAATAGAATAAATACACATAACAGTGTTGTTTAATGAAATAACATTAAAGGCGTGAGCCTTTTATCCCCGAAGGGGTATACAAAGGTGCACATTGCGGCACTTAATGCCACTGTACAATGTAACACCCACTTTTCACTATTTACCTATGTTATAAGTCCCATGTAATAGGGGGTGAGCGTATTGCCATATACCGGGCACAATTCCAGCCTCCGTACTACTACTGAGAATTTTTTTAAACTCGGTAATACTTTGCCCGGCCCGGGAATTGAACCCGAGACCCCTTGCCCAGCAGTCGCACTTGCGACCTTGCGACCATTCGGCCAACGAGGCAGTACAATAAAATAATGTAACAAAATGGGTTCTGTATAGTGCCAGCGAAGTAAAATATAATTACCACCATCAATTTCTTCTAGACTTAAGAGTACATACATTTGACACAAACCGGATAGCAGTACCTTCTTACTGTATGATTAATATGAACTATTTAAACTGCAATCTTAAACCCGATGGTCAATATTGAAAATTATATTAATACCTTAAGGTCCATAATCCAACAGCAGTCTCACGAGCTGTTGATGTTTAAAAATAACTAAATAAAAAAAGACCAAAAACGTTTGATAACAAAAATAAATTAGGTGACTTCTTTAAACAATAAGAAGATAAAACATACGGAAGTTTTCTTTTAAGACATGTGTATATATTTATTATTATCATAATAATAATATAATAAATTAGGCCACAACGTAATCAGTAGAAATGGCGCGTGCTTGAATAAACATAATATTGTTATATATCTGTTATACATTACTTATCTGTAACATTAATCTTATATATATAATATATACAAAATGTCATTATAGGTACATTAGATTATTTGAAAAAAACTTGTCAAATTATTCTTCAAATTGGTTACTGTATTAAGAATTTGAATTTAAAATATGTATAAAATACTCAAATACTATTTCAATTTTAAATATCATTTCACTGATTTTATTCTAGGAGTAGATTGTATATATACAAAAAGTGATATTTTTGTACTTTTCTATTTAAATATTCGTACGGAAAAACACTAGATTATGTTGTGTCTAATATATTTTTTTATATAATTTATTACTCAGGCCTTTATGACAAAATACGTAATTAAATTATATCTATGACAGGTTATAAATACTAGATTAGCCTAAAATTAAAAAAAAAATATTACTGTCTACATTTTTTGCCATTTTTATTTAAATAGCTACAAGATTTTATGAATTAAAATGACAATACCTAGACTATATCATCTAATAGATGGGCCTAATGACGTCAAGATGCGTATTATTAGTCCTAATACTATTTGAATAATATAAATTACTTAATAATACATTTATGTTCCTTCTTTATGTTAATATTGATTATTTAGAGTGTCACTAAAATAGGAAATTTCCAAACTACAAATGCGTTATAGCGATTTAATCATCAATTTCTATACAACATCATTATTATCTTTGTTATATTTACATTTCGACCACAAAGAGATTTCAGTGGTAAAAATGCATTATTATACAGCATATTAAATTATTAGCACATATAGAATATAGAATATAGAGACTGCCTCGTTCGCCGAGTGTTCGCAAGTGTGACAGCCGGGCAAGGGGTTTCGGGTTCGATGCCCGGGTCGGGCAAAGTATTACTGGATTTAAAAAAAAAATTCTCAGTAGTAGCACGGCGTCTGGAATTGTGCCCGGTATATGGCAATAGGCTCACCCCCTATTACATAGGACTCATAACACAAATAGTGACAAGTGGGTGTTACATTGTACAGTGGCATAATGTGCACCTCTGCCTACCCCTTCGGGGATAAAAGGTGTGATTACTTAGTCCGTAAATTATTACGAACTAATTAGATATTTAATTTTCATACCCTGTCATCATCCCAATTGAAACTAATATTCATGTCGTAGTCAAATTAATCACTGCTGCAATTATTCAACCAGTCTGTCTTTGAAAATATCATTTACATATTACATATTTTTTACACACATATAGACATAATAATACCTATATATAATAGTCCAATATCTGTCTGCAACAACTTTGAACGGACATAAATAATATGCAATTAATATACAGTTTGAATGCGAACATTTTTTAAACATATCAATAAAATCCTTGTAATCTAATTTGACAAGCCATTGACAACTTCAACTGTCAAAATGTAATTCGATACATATCAAAGAACTCGATTAACATTAATTTTTTTCAACTGCAGTGCTAACATTTCCGTGCAGATTTTTTAACTTAATTAAAGGAAAAAGCTTGTTACTTTTTATTGTAAGTAGTCGTTTTACTGTGATGATAAGCACTCATTATTCATGGAATTGAATATCCACAACAGTAGTGATGTTACAAGTGCTTTGCAGGCTTTTGAAAGAGAGGGAGACTAAGCTATCGGTAACCTTACAGACAACGCAAAAGACCACGCAAGCATTATTTCACACCGGTTTTCTATGAGGCTGTGGTATCACTCATTCATGCCAAAACATGGCTCTTCCAATTGAACCATGCCATTTTGCTACCTCTTGTTAACCCAAATTAATGACCACTACATGTACATTCTGTTGTACATTGGTATACAGGAGAGAAGTAAGCAAATCCTTTGGCTCTATTGTCTTTTATTTTAACTGCTCATATTCTCAGTGTCTGTTCATTTGTTTTTGTGTTCACCATTCAAAATTACTAGACCGCCTTAATTAGGCTTGCGCACGCAAGATTTCCGAACATTATTTGTTTATAAATTAATCAGATGAATCATATTACATTACATTGATACGTACGTCATTGTGAAGAGACAGAAATGTACTTCTTTAATAAGTTCACTGTCTTTAGAATTGTTAAAAACCGTATGATGACGGTGGAGTATGGTAAATTTAATTTTGTCACGCAGCATCAGTGGTCTTTGATAAATCTAAAGCCTTTAAACCAAGATCCAACCCATCTGCCACGCATGAAAACTGTGGCAAACCTATGTAGAGGAGACCCTTAGTCCAGTAGTGGACAATGAATCTGTTGTCAAAAAATGTGTATCCCACTTATCACACCTGGACTTAAACAAGTGAGTCAGTAACAGTAAGTTACATAACAGAACAAAACATCACGCCTTTTATCCCCGAAGGGGTAGGCAGAGGTGCACACAGAAGTAACACCCACTTTTCACTATTTATGTTATGAGTCCCATGTAATAGGGGATGAGCCTATTGCCATATACCGGGCACATTTCCAGACTCCGTGCTGCTACTGAGATTTTTTTTAAAACCCAGTAATTATTTGCCCGACCCGGTAATCGAATCCGAGACCCCTTGCCCGGCAGTCGCACTTCTTGCGGCCAACGAGGCAGTCAAAATATTATATGCCGAAATAAATAAATATTCACCAAGACACTTAAACTAAACTTCTTAGGGTCAAGAACAAACTTTTGTGAATATCAGAAAAAAGATAAAACACAAAACGTTTCTATTGTTCCAATGGCATTTAAGATTATAAGTCAACACCTATTGATAAAAATAGTGTTATATAATTTAGTATCTATGACGAAAATAGGTTGAAACCTTTTTCATTTTATTTGCCTGTGCCAGCGGTCAATGCCGTCAGTCCAAAGTTATTTCAATTGGTTTGAAGTTACACTATGTTGCACCATATTTTTATATGTTACGAACCTGTTATAGCCACGAAGGTTACTCTTGGACCGTTGGGTCTTATTTCCGTCAATCATAGCACTGGCCACTTATTGAACACGTGAAACACGTGGTAGCGTCTTACTTTTTTAAATACGGTAAAACGGGGTGAATAGAATTCGAGGGGTGAATAAATGTTGGGAAGATATTCAAGTGGTGAATAGATTCAACCCTGTATCGTTCCACCATTTGAATTCTATTCACCTCATTTATAGAAAGAATTTGATAAAAAAACTGTACTGAATGTATAATAATTATGCATTACAATTACGTGTAAATAAATATTAGGTATATATTTTAAACAGAATTGTATTATGATAATTATGAAGTTATGTCAATGTCAAGGCATTTGTTTCTATTCGACCAATTACATGGTCTCTTGAAAGTCACGGCCAACCTCTTTGTTTGTCTGTATATCAATAATAATGTTCATAATATTGCAGATAAAGAAAAAATACTCATTCCATTATTTTGAAAATTTATAAGTAAATATTTTTGTATCAAATCACCTGAGAAATATCAAAAACTTTGGTGATTTTAAATGTGATTAATATAATAATGTCAATGAACTTTGAGTGTCATACTCGACATGATTCATATATTTTTATTATGTAAAATATGTATTACATATGACAGATACCTTAAAATTCATATTTAAATAAAAATGGATTATAAAATATTCTGCTAAGCATAGAATTCGAGAACGGTTGGACCAAAATCAATCATTCTTTTTGTGTAAATTCTTATCAGGACAAGATATTTATGAATAAAAAGAAACAACATACGACCAATATACGCGTATCACTAAAAATTAATTAAGCAAAGGAACTCGCATTTTCTTTAAATTTTATATGAATATCGGTGTATGTGTACAAAGCAGTAATTTTACGTCAGCATAAGCATAAGTACCTAATTTGCGATAGAATTTTTCGTCAATTTTTGAGACACTTATCTTCAACTTTACGTTATATTTTATGTAAGACCTCACAGAATACCGACGTGAAACATAGCTTGCGTTGTGTTTCGTCATGTGAGTGATGTTACCGGAGGCCCAATTACCCCCAATCTCTCCAATCCCTGAATCCCTAGTTATCCTCACATTTTTAACCCTCTCTCTCTCAATTAAAACGCTCTCTCAGGTGTCCATCGGCGGCGCCGATTGCTTACCATGAGGTGATTGTCTGCTCGTTTAGCGGCATATTTCATAAAAAGAGATGATAAGTATATCAACATTGCAAGTGTACGCTGTATATGATTAATAACATAAGTTTGAAATCAAAATTCTAAATTATAAATACCAGGTGTTACGTTGTTATAAAGTTAATAATCTAGTTATACAGCCTTTTGTAGAAAATTAACACTAATTTATGTATTTTTGTTTGTTAAAAATAACAAATTTAAATATCAAATGCACATCAAACTATTAAATCTTGAACATTTTCTGTTACCTAACATTTTGGCACGTGTAAATAAAATTTAAATAAGTAACTGATTTTCTAAACAGGAAAAAAACATAATTAAGTGTGTCTGTCTAGAAAAAAACTGTTAAAAGTGAATGTTTAGAAAATATTATTTTTGAGAATTCTTATAATATTATTCATCTAAGACAATGCTCTAGTTTTTGACAATTACCATAATGCTTATCAATTTTATTGCGTTATTTTAATATTCATTTTAAAATATGTTTTAAAAGTAAAAAAAAACAATGGATCTAGTAAGCAACCAAGTTAGTATGGAATAACAATAAAAAAGGAACGAGAATTTTCAGCCTATGCTAGCGTTCCGTTTTCAAAACTGCGCGCATGACGTCAAAATTGTTTTTCTTTTTTCAGATCGCCGGCACAGCTCACCAGCCAGTATTTGGTTTTATATACAACGACTTTTTGGACGAACTAGGAGTCGGCACGGCAGCAGTTACAGTTGTTTTTGGAGTGTTTCAAGTCACGTTAGCTGTTGCAGGTAAAAAATAATTTAGATTTAAAAAAAAATAAATATTTATGGAACAAACACAAAATTTAAACCTTAGAATAGACATTTCTTAGATCATAATATGCTATATTGCATAAAAACTGTTGTTAGATCTAACAAGCAAAATATCTCCGTTAATAATAGGTATTATTACAGCTGTTTTTTACAAATTCTTCAAGCGCATATTCGACACTAATTGATTAATTTAGCATACAGGCAATTTAGTTTATTATAGAGTTACACAATTACCAAATACTAGCACTTTTTTATTCTAATTAAATTAACCTAACAATTTTGTTTACATTTTTTACGCAAAAAAACTTGAACTTTAAATTTAAAAAAAAGGTTGGTATGTAGCGTTCAAAGTTCAATATTAATAATTATGCATTACGTAACACAAATATGTAATACATAGTCATAGTTCAATGACATTATTGTTTAGTTTTGTATCAGATTCGATTGTCAGTTGAATTTATAGCTAAGTATTATTTTTATGTAATGTGATCGAGTGATATTATAGTCAATTAAGAGTTCATTATTAATTGTAATGTGAACTAACGTCTGATAGTAGAACAATGTTATATTTGCTAGTGTTAAAAAAACTATTTATCATTACATTTTTGACCCAATTTTCATCATTATTTGTAGATACTACTCATACATAGGTACATACATTTTATTGAATAAATATTTGTATTACATTTAAACTTTCGTGAGACATACTAAATTAATTAATATGTTTTTCGGCTTATTCGTATAAATTTTGTAATTATTATTTTTATCGCATTTTACACACATAGGTATAACGCACTTCGGGAAATCAAGAAAACGCTCTTTAGTATATTATTATGAATAGAACATTTTCTTGATGATGCCCAGAATCGGAGTTGTCTTTGGGGTCACTATTTAAATAGGCCTACATAATAATAATTATACAGTACAGGTATAATACGACCCACAGAATACGACCAATTATGTGTATTATACAGGGCACTTGACCTTTTTGCAAGTCATCGCCAATGAGGTCAACGTAAAAGTCCATTTTCCCTCTCTTAAAGTTTTTGTTCGTGAATCGCAAATGACTGCCAAATAATCGCTTTTCAGCCGTGAATGGGAAAGTAAACCTATGTGTGCAAATAATAAAATATCTTTTCGTTTGCTTTCTGTCTATTATCGTATACATATAAATAAGTATGCTCATTACTATATACTTAAAATAATTAGGTAACTAATAGATAAGAAGGCAAAGTTTTCGTTTTTATCTATGCGGATTATGAATCAATCGTACATTATTTTGATCACACAAGAAAGTAATTATTCCATATCGCATAGAATAACTTTCTTTGTAATTATCGAGTCATCAATCCTACGGCACGTTATGTGGCACTCAGTTATCACATCACTATACTCATAGACCTATCTTATACTATTATATAAAGCAGAAGAGTTTATTTGTTTGAACGCGCTAATCTCCGTAACTACAAGTCTGATTTAAATAATTCTTTTTGTGTTGGATAGCGCATTTATCGGAGATGGTTATAGGCTATAAAACATCACGCTATGACCAATAGGAGCTGAGCAAACCGCGCGAATGTAGCTAGTTATACTTATACACATAACTTTAAGCCTAAATCAATACATATCTAAATAAAGTAAATCCTTTTAAATTTCAAAGTACAAAAATAGAGTGCAATATTCTTTCGCTTTAAGCCAAAGGGATAAAAAGATCTTGTGTCAACACAAAATGCTTGGAGCATTTTGTTAATGCTTTTTTGCATTCTCGTGCGAACAGGACAAAGCCAGTGTTTAGCTCCACAATGCATTTTTTTAATATACACTCTTCCTATCCTTAATGAAGTCAGGGAATTTTCTTTTTTATTTGAAGTGCAAATGTTGTGGTTTATTTAATGAGAATGGGGAATGTTACAATTTCATAAGTAGGTATAATTTTTATATTCAAAAGTATAATATTACAGTTTCTTAAGTGCCAGCCATGCATTGAATGCAACAGCCATGCTTCGGCACGAATGGGTCGGCTCGACTGGAGTGATACCACGGCCTCACAGAAAACCGACGTTAAACAACGCTTGCGTTGTGTTTCGTCGTGTGAGTAAGGTTACCGGTGGCCCAATTACCCTCCCTTTCCCCAATTCCTGAATCCCCAACGATCCTCAAACTAATATTCTCCAAAAGGCCGGTAACGCACTTGTAACGCCTTTGGTGTTCCAGGAGTTCATGGGCGACGCCGATTGCTTACCATCAGGTGATCCGTCGGCTCGTTTACCAGCTTATGCCATAAAAAAAATATTGCTAATTGGTTTATTTATATTGTGTCGGTTACGTCTTTAGTTTGATTATACAATTGCTTAATCAGTTTTAAGATTACTAGATTTTTGATAGTGTCAAAGAATTGTCACTGCCTATTGCTGTTGTAAATACATTTTAACGTGTTGACGGGCGTCCGGCTCGGAGTACAGGAGAAGGAACGGGGTGGCTTTAAGTCAGTAAGATTTTAACACTCGCTCACTCACCTCACCTAGGGCAAGAGAAGAAGGGCAGTTTGGATGACTTTCCCGCCTCAAATTAAAAGCATAATGTAATAGAACTAAAAATCCAAAGTAGCAATTGAACTAAAATTTCTGGATATACCTACAAATATATTCGTATGTGCGTCGAGCACCCACTTTACTAGCTATTACAAATTATTTACTTATTGCAAATTCGTAACAGTATCATATTCTGATGAAGAGACTGCCTCGTTGGCCGAGTGGTTGCAAGTGCGACTGCCGGGCAAGGGGTCTCGGGTTCGATTCCCGGGACAGACAAAGTATTACGGAGTTTAAAAAAATCAGTAGTATCACGGAGTCTGAAATTGTGTCTAGTATATGGCAATAGGCTCACTCCCTATTACATGGGACTCATAACATAAATAGTGAAAAGTGGGTGTTACATTGTACAGTGGCATAATGTGCACCTCTGTCTACCCCTTCGTGGATAAGAGGCGATGATGTTATGTGTCAAGTGTGTTAAGTATCATATTTCATAATCATTTAGACAACATTTATTTTCATTAGAAATTATTAATTTAATACCTGTAATTGTGTATTTATTAATTAATCAATAAATATTTACAAATGACCTATTTGGGGCACGCACGTTGCTCTAATTCAATCATTAACAATCTTAACATAAATAACACTAGACGAAAAAATATATTATGATACTTACAAAGTAATTTATTTTTTCATCGGTGATGACAACTCTGATTATGTTTAAATTAATTTATTTTAGAATACTAAAACACCAGAGATTATACAAAAAAATATTCTGCATGTTAATACGCAGAATGACATTCCGAACAGTTTTATGTTACAGAATTTTATTGTACATTTAGTTGGGCATTAAGAATTTATGACAGAAAAAAAATCGCTATGAATATAATAAACACAATTTTCCTTTGTTTCAGGATTCTCAGCAAACATAGCTTTAAAGAAACTATCTTTAAGACAAGTTGGTTTAATAGGAGCCGGTATATATACGCTAGCGTCATTCCTAGCCATTTTCGTAGTATCTACGACACAGCTGATCATAACAAATGGCTTCCTACATGGCTTGGGAATGGGCCTCCTCATACCTGTCTCCTACACAAGTTTCAACAGCTATTTCACAAAGAAAAAAGTGCTCTATCTAAGTCTGTGTAAGGCCTCAATTGGAATGATAACGATGTTCTACCCGTTGTTTATCAAGTTTACGATGTCGGAGTATGGGTTTAGAGGGACTCTCGCTATTCTTTGTGGGATATCTGCGCATAGTATATTTGGGGCGGCAGTGATGCATCCTGTGAAGTGGCACATGGTTAAGCAACCGAAGCCCTGCGAAAAAATTGTTTGTAAGTTCTCTTTCTACTTGAAGAAAATTTGTTCCTAAAGGTCACTGTTCTTTAAGCGAAATTCATTTCGCTTTGTAAAACTGTTCCATTCTGTACAGTTGAAAGTTCAGCTTTTAATACAAAGCTAGAGTAATGCTATTCAGCTTTGAGTTTTGTTCCAACTTTTGTATCTGCTCACTTGGAGTTTAAAATTAATATTATAAAGCAATAAAGTCTATTACTCACCAAGTAGAAATGTTGATTTTAATCTACTCCATCAAAGTGCTCAAATAAAATCTTCTCTCTAATATTTATACAATCGTATTGAAACCTTACAACCGTAAAATTAACGTTGTATTTCCAGTAATACCACCGACACCCGCCAAAGAAGACAACAAAGATAATAAGTTCGATTTCACGAAGACCTTGCCGCGAATCGATTCATCAGAAAATGCGAGATCTGTCGAGAATCTGTATCGAATCAATCGATTGGAAAATCCTCAGAAAGGAGCCGAATTACTATTTGTGTCGAAATTAAGCGATTCCAGACGATTAAGCATACCAGTTGTCTTGATCCCAGCAGATGGAAGAATCGATAGTAGTTTCGATACGAGTGACCATGTGTATCGAGAGAATTTGTTCAAAGCTGCATCGGTATCGAGTTTGGGCAATTTTGGGAATATTGCTGCGGAACCCATGCCGATAATAAAGAATAAGGAAGGGAAATGGTGAGTAACTATTTAACACGTCAATTATTTTTTCGAGAAAAGTAAAGGAAAAACACAATTACTTCTTGTTTCGTCAGCTGCATTGTACTCTAATCCTTATAGAGTTACATGCTAGATGGCTGTGGCCACAAGATAGGTAATTTGAGACTCTGTAATAGGTATTACTGGGACATTTATAATCTAAAAAATAATTAAATGCTTTGTTGAGTAAGTAGGTTCACATTTACTGCCCGCAACTCCCTCCTCAATCTAAATGAGGTACAAAAAAAATCCTATAAATTTAATCGATTGTAAACAATAATGCATTATTCATTGTATTGGTTTTGTATTATACACTTAATGAAATAGTTTTATATTTATGCATAAAAATGTAGATTTTAGCCAGGACCAATAAACGATTCATTGACCATTCCGTGTCGCGTGTAACCTTTGTACAGTCTAAAAAAAATGTTAATTAATTTACAAAATATTAATCAGATTAAAAAACGCATATAAATATATTTTACTAGTTAGTTTGATTAGCTGAACACCTGTCTTCTAAACCAAACAATATTAATTTTCAAATAATTTGAATCAAGTTTTGGTACCCAATACAAAAAAGACCAGTGATTTTTTGTAACTCGAAAAAAGATATTAATTTGCACTATAACTCTAGACTACACAAAAAAGTTGCAAGTGACATTATAATTTGTTTAATTAAACAAAATGTCAGATCACTCTCAGTGTTCAAAACGCATTAACATCTTTAAAATTAAACCACAAACAACCCTGAGAGAGATTAGATTATTAACACTCGAAAACTAGAAGGATACTCAATAAAATTTTAAGTCGCATTTAAGTATAGTTCTTACAAATATAATTTCACGCCTTTCATCCCCGAAGGGGTAGGCAGAGGTGCACATTACTTGCATGCACTTAATGCCACTGTATAACATAACACCCACTTTTCACTATTTTATGTTATGAGTCCTATGTAATAGGAATAAAAAATCCAACATGCCTCAATGTCTAGTTGAAATGTATTTTTTGTGTACAATTTGGTATATTTATGTAAATATTTCACGGATACACAAAAATAATTAACATAAATACCATGTATATTACATTTTTTATGATTTAATCTAATTCGTATAGTCTATTACTATTTAACATTTTTCTTAGTAAACATTTGCATTTATTTTATTTTTGAAAAAAATGTGGCACGTGTGTAAATTCAAAAGTTGTTTTCGAGGTCAAAATGAAAATGGAAAATCTGATAAAAATTTTACTCAGAATATGGTTTTCTTCGATCAGTAGTTTTTGCTGTCTATCACCCAAACCATCAAAAACCAGTAATGTAAACAATTTCCGTGATTTTTTTAAGGTCTAAAATTTTAATTTCTTAGTTATTTATAATTTTTAATTTATTTTAGTTTAAATTTTGTGTAATATGTAAGTAGGTATATGTATAATGTAAATATTTAAATGATGTCTTTTATTAATTGAATGCATTAATAATATTTTTATGGCGTAAGCCGGTAAACGAGCTGATGGATCACCTGAAGGTAAGCAATCAGCGCCGCCCACGACTAACGACCAGCGTTACAAGTGCGTTACCGACTGAGGAGGGGAGGTAATTAGGCCTCCAGTAACCTCACTCACACGACGAAACACAACGCAAGCGTTGTTTCACGTCGGTTTTCTATGAGGCCGTGGTATCACTCCGGTCAGTTAGAAAATAAGTATCAAATTAGTATGTTTACGGTCACCTCTATTTATAGTTGCGTTCTTAATACAGTAAAATAAATATTTCTGTAAATTTGTGTTTAATAATAAGTATTTTTTTTCAGGCAAACAATATCGGAATTCCTTGACTTATCCCTCCTCAAAGATTTGGTCTACGTTAATATTATATTTGGCCTGGCATTAACCTTCTTTTCCGACCTCACATTTTTTACTCTGGAGCCATTATTTTTGGACAAAAAACATCTAAGCAAGGTAAGATCCTTTATTATTTTTGCCACAGAATGAATATTAAAGCCTAAGATAGATGTAATGTCTTTTACTTGAATTATATCTTACTCGGGTGGAATTTCTCTTTTACTGAAACTGTATTTTGTGATTCACGTGTTTCAGTATAGAACTTTGAAACAGTAACTAATTTTTACGCAGTTGTGTAATCTTATAGTGCTCTCATTTTTTTTTTCCTCGTTAGTAAAGAATCTCGTAAATCGGGACTTGTTATTAATGAGTTATGCTTATGCCCTCGGTTTTACTCGCGTGGATTACCTACAGACTTTGTGAAAATGTCAACTTATTATTTTCAATCCAATACGTTTCTAGAAATGTTTCTCCAACTATAATGCAGGTCATAAATAGTTCTACCTACAAACTTACAAACTTCGACCCCTATTTCACCTCATATTGAATACAATTTTTAAAACTCCTACAAAACTTTACCTATATTGTTTTTAATTACGATTATTAGTTAAGTGAATAAGGAATAGATCTCTATCTAATATATAAAATTCTCGTGTCACAGTTTTCGTTGCCATACTCCTCCGAAACGGCTAGACCGATATTGATGATTTTTTTTGTGCTTATCCGGTATCTATGAGAATCGGCCAACATCTATTTTTCAACCCCCTAAATGTTAGGGGTAGTCCACCCCTAATTTTACTTTTTTAGACTAAATTTTTAATTTAATTTTTTTATAATATAACATACAAAATACATACAATCCTCAATTTTCATCCTTCTACGATCAACCCTTATTTTCTAATAGCCATTTTAGTAATATAAACATTTTTCCTCTCCGGTCGAAAACTTAAATTATTTATATGGCAAAACAACGTTTGCCGGGTCAGCTAGTTTTTCTATATTCTTTGAATTCTTCAACAAACAAAAACCAAAGGATCGTTTAAAATATAATAAAAGCTTTTCTATAGTCCAACAAATGTAAATACGCTGCATTATTTAGTCCATATGCATAATTCTCATCTTTAACTGCACGCAATTCTATTCTTGAATTCATGCACTACTGGGTTGCCATTACAATTTAAATGTTAGCTAAAGTTCTGGTAACACACGCTAGAATATAACAATGGGTATGAGAACTCTGACTCAGTTTATTTTGAGCCATTTAGTGAATATTAAATTATACATAGTTGTTACTCTGTATAATTTAACATAACGCCTAATATTTCCTAAACAGTTTTGCAGAAGTGTTCTTACTTTCTTTTGTTGAATCATGTCAAGACTGACTGTGGGAAAGCTTATCGATTTTTACTGGTTACAAATTAAAAGTATCCTTATGACGAGCATGTATATAAAAGACTGATGACTGTTGATGAAGCGAAAGAGGTGTGTTAAAATCGTAGCAATTAGCGTGCCATAGTCTCAGCCTGGGAGACAGGCATCAGGTTATGTATATATACCTCTACATATTGATTTCTCAGGAATAAAAGTTAGGCGCGCTTCGCATAATCTACTAATCAATACCTTTAAAATCTTTCTTCTTCATATGTTCAATTCTGCCACGTTACCCGAGCGGTCGCAAGTGCGACTGCCGGGCAAGGGGTCTCGGGTTCAATTCCCGGGTCGGGCAAAGTATTATTGGGTTTTAAAAAATTTTCAGTAGTAGCATGGAGTCTGGAATTGTGCCCGGTATATGACAATAAGCTCACCCCCTATTAAATGGGTCTCATAAAATAAATAGTGAAAAGTGGGTGTTATATTGCACAGTGGTATAATGTGCACCTTTGCCTACCCCTTCAGGAATAATATGTTATGTTATGTCAAATTTTATTTTTCTTTTCCAGGCTGAAATAGCAACAATAATAGCGGTTGGGGGAGCGACAGATATGTCGGCGCGTCTGTTTCTGGGCGTGGCCGGACAATTCTTCAGGATGAATAGCCGATATATGTTCTTCTGTGGAGCCTTGTTTACAGCCATATTTAGATTTGGTGAGTTATTTCTACTTATTTTATTTATGCTGACAAATAGCTAAGGCTAATATTTCAAACAAATTAATACAGGCGGTTTTTATTATTATACTAGTCTTAGTTGAAAAACCAAAAACTCAACCAGATGTATTTTTATGTAAATTAAAAAAGTTTTCGACCTTATAACCTTTCCGTATACTCCGTTCGTTAGATGAATGAAATGCTCACACTCGGAAGTCAATGCTTTTGTCCAATAGGTATTATGTTATTTTAAATTAATAATTAAAACCTCATTTTATAAAAGTTCGATTTCGAGAATGATTTACGATAGCACAAGCTTAAACTGTCAAACACCAAGCGGTCACCGGTGACCGCGACCTATTGTTCTTTAATTGTGTCTATAAATCGGTACTCGACGAGTTAAACCTTAGTGGATTTTGGTTGCTATTTTAACTGGATAATCCTGTACTTATTGTAAATATGATAAATAAATAAAAAAAAAAATTAAAATGACTAAGACAACGAGGCCACTCCTATAGACCTCTTCAAGAAACAAAGACCAAAATACCTTATATGGATAATTTTATCCATTTAAAAGTATTTCGGTATATTGGTCTGTATATCAAAGTTAATTAACGACATATACTTATTTAAAAAGCTTTTTAATCTACTGTATAACATTACGCAATAACCTGTCTGTTGAATAATATTAAAAATAAATGCATACAATTTATTTTTATGTATCAAACAAAGCTTTTTACCATGACTCATGTAATAAATTAAAATGCTTTTAATTTTATCACAACATAAGATGTAGACAGTGATAAAATTTAAAATAGAATTATTATTGTTAATTAAATTTAAGTTGACAAGCCCATATTGCTGTCTATTAACTTGAAATACGACTGCATGGTTGGCGCGGGGCTTGGGCTACTGGCTCGCAGAAGGAGATAACGGCATCCCAATCCCCCTCGCTCCGTACCATAGTTTGAACTAGAGCCGGACGCAAGAGGTCGCCTTCGCCGATCACATCCCTAAGGCCACGACGGTGCTCAGTTCACGCAGAACACACCGCCACCGTATGCTCCACCGGGCTCCGTATGCTCCAGCGTACCGGCTGGGTAACTGGCTGCCGTGCATTGTGTCGCGGTTTCGATTCTCGCATAGAACAACTCTTTGTGTAATCCACAGATTGTTGTTCAGGATCTGGGTGTCACGTGTATGTGAACTTGTATGTTTGTAAAGGCTTCCACGATACAGGAGAAAATCCTAGACTGCTTCGTTGGTCGAGTGGTCGCAAGTGCGACTACCGGGCAAGGGGTCTAGGGTTCAATTCCCGGGTCGGGCAAAGCATTACTGGGTTTTAATAAAAAATTTCAGTAGTAGTACGGAGTTTGGAATTGTGCACAGTATATGGCAATAGGCTCACCCCCTATTACATGGGACTCATTACATAAATAGTGAAAAGTGGGTGTTACATTGTACAGTGGCATAATGTGCACCTCCGCCTACCCCTTCGGGGATAAAAGGCGTGATGTTATGTTATATTGTTATACCTATTATATACAACTTAAAAGCTACTTAATACTAAGAAGATCTTTTTTAAAATTGCCATTCAAAATATAATAATAGAGGTATAATGTCAAAGGTATTATTTTCAAACAATGTAGTATAATACAACAATGTCGATATTTAATTTAATTCAATAATAATCAAAATCGTAGAATACAATATAAATTGGCATAATTACGTTTATTTCTATTTAGAGAAATAGAATTTATGACTAGGTATATATAAAAAGGTCGCTCATTTGTAGTCAAATTTGAACAATTCATTTTATAAAAACATATTAATGATGAGTATTATTATTTTGATATTAGTTCTGAATGGCATATTGTCTATATGTACTATCTATGTTTTTTTGTATAATGTATTTTGTATAATAATAAACACTTTATATATGTGTTTAAAAATTTAATAAATATAACTTATTAATAATTTTATTAACAGTCGAAATATTACAAGTTTGGCCATATTACACTTAATTTTAAGTATATTATAATAATATGTCGAATTTAATACGATCTCTTCAAGTAGGCATACTAAATATTGTTTAACTATTTTATATTATTAGCTTTATAATACCTAACTACCATATACTTAAGTATTTAAGCGATTAAAAGCAATTAATTAATGAGTGAAGTGTTAAAATGAAATATATTATAATAGTTCTATATCATATAAATGCCATTTTTATTTGAAACTTTATGCACCTAAAATCAATATACACAAGTGGACAAGATTTCTATGCAGAATTAAATTTTTTAATGTTACATTTACGTTTAAAAATTTTATATACTTACAACAATAAAATTAAATCAAATGTGAGTTTCTATTGATAACAATAGAAAATATACATGAGATTTCAATTTATTTTATTACAACGAAGCTTGATATAACAATGCAAGTATTCAAATTTCAGATAAGGCTCTATTTTCGGAATTAAAAATGAATTGATAGAATTAGAAATTAAAAAATATGTTGGAATCAGTCTAAACCTGTATATAAATATCATAAAATATTATTACTTTGACGTAGGTAGCGTTTTAGAGATATCTCCGATTCCTTTTTTAGAAACTTGAGCTATTTTTAACATAAAAAATAAAAGACATAACATCACTCCTTTAATCCCCGAAGGGGTAGGCAGAGGTGCACATTACGGCACTTAATGCCACTGTACGGTTTTTAAATATTCTCAGTAGTAGCACGGAGTCTGGAATTGTGCCCGATATATGGCAATAGGCTCACCCCCTATTACATGGGACTCATAACATAAATAGTGAAAAGTGGGTGTTATATTGTACAGTGCTATAATGTGCACCTCTGCCTACCGCTTCGGGGATAAAAGGCGTGATGTTATGTATGTTATCTCATAAGTACATTGTACAAAGTATTGACAAGACTTCTTTTTCTTCCAGTATTCATCCAGTTCACAACCTACGTACCGCTTCTGATCCTGACTGGAGTGCTTGGTTCCTTGAGGTCTCTAGTCCATATCGCACAGCCAATAGTATTAGCAGAGTATGTGCCTATTGAGAGATATCCACCAGCCTATGGACTCTATATGCTGCTTGCTGGAGCTATCAGTTTGAGCGTTGGGCCCATGATTGGTAAGTTCAAGATATTTAATCTACTATATAAAAATAAGTCGGGTTTCCATCCTGACGCTATAACTCCAGAACGCACGAACCGATTTCGACGGTTTTGCATTTGTTGGAAAGGTCTCGGGCTCCGTGAGGTTTATGAAATGAAAACAAAAAAATATTCTTCATCTTTTAATTACCAAACGAAATAATATGAAGCCAGAACTGGTGGCGAAACGGAGTTCGCCAGGTTTGCTAGTTTAATTATAGGTATAACTGTTTGACGAGATATCTCGTTCAGTTTCACTCTAAGCCCTTTTTTTAACGTGTGGAAATCCTCATGGATAGCCTTTGTCTAGACAATGAGCGTCAGACCTCAGGTTATGTCGGACTTTTACCGACTAAAACCACACACTCAATCCCAAAAAACAATGAGAGTCACTGGGTACTCGAATGAACGAACTCACTTACTTTCACTCTAAGCCCTGGCTTAGCTCTAAAGCCTAGCACCACAGACGGGGCTGATACCGATACAGAGCCGCGGAGAACTTAACGGGTTGCCGGGGCTCCGGCTTGAAGTGCAGGAGTAAGAACAGGATGGTTTATAGTCAATAAGAGTCTGACACTCCCTTCCGCCTTTTTCCTTCCTTCCCGGGTGAAAGATGTAATGAATGATTTACCCACATCAAAAAAAATCAAAGGCCTGTTATCAGTATTACCGTTGCACATGGAAACGGTATTGTGAGTAATAGCAGCTAAAATATTGCACCCTTTTGGGGGTTATTAAAGTCAGGGTTTAATTACAAAAAGAGCTTAAAAATTTTGAAGTAGATGGTGATTTGTACATAAAACATACGTACATACTTTATATTTAAAACCAAAATTTTATATCAAGATTTTTGATTTATTTTGTATTCTTAGTTTTTTACTTCTACGAAAGCTTTTTTATTTATTTAAATCGCTTGTTTAATAATAACGGATTTATAAAAAAGGTACGTTTTGATATTTGAGTGATCACGACTAAATAAATAAAAAAAAAACGATTGCATCCTGTTTGTGCAGACAGACGTATCACGTCAATAAAACAACATTATTAATGATTGCTTCGATCAATAATAAAGATAAAATATTATATCTATTGATTGGCGACTACAAATAAAAAGCAGCCATTATAAAAAAAAAACATTAGAAAATTTCACAAAACAAAAAAAATAAAAATATTAGAGAGTTAATAGTGCGCATATAAAAATGAAACCTGTTTCCCGTTGTAACGCCATAACTTAAGAACGGCTAGACCAATTTGGCAGATTTTTTTATTGTTGTGTTTATTATAGTCAGGAGAAGGTTCTTATGTCATAAAAAGTCCTGAAAATCTAATGGGAACGGGAGAAAACGGGATTGCGCGTAAGTGGCGGGCTAGTTATTAATAAAATACATTGAAGAAAAATGTAAAGAAAATGTATTTAACGTTTCTAAAACAATACTTTTAGAATAATTTCATGTCAATCCTAATTCTTATATATTTTACCAGAAAGACAGCCAGATCCTCATTTTAATATTACATTTTTCTAATAATTAACCCAAAAAGCTATAGGTATGTTAATCACATATAAATAAAACAAAAGATTTTAATTTCAACATTTACATGTATCAAAATACATAATTATCTATTCTTATTAGTCGGTGTTTTATAGAACATTTTCAAAAATAACTTTTTAGGTACAATTTAAACACTAACACTTAGTTTGTAACTTTTCCTAAGGAGGATCAGAATATCTTTCATAGAATTTATTCCTTCAAAACTTATATCAACTACCAATCAAGCATGGGAAATACAAAAACCATACAAACTTTATTTAATGACAAAAACTTCTATTAAAGGTGTGATTCTATAAATCTGCTGTACGTGTGTATGTCATTAAACTCCTCCTAAACGGCTTGACCGATTTAAATGATTTTTTCTGTATGCGTTCGAGTGGCGCCCTAGATGGTTTAGATTCACAAATCAGTCCGGCAGATGGCGCTGCAGTCGATATCTAGGTTATTTATCTATACCTATTATTCGTATTATATGCAGGACAACTTCTGTCGGGTCCGCTAGTGACATATAAAATAATGCAATCTTGCACTAACATCTCCACAGTTGAGTTTAGTTTTTTAATTGATAATTTTCAGAAAAAAAACATTATTCTTTCGTCAGGTTCCACATAAGAATAATGTAACAGATAGACAGACAGTTCCATTATAATCAAATATTAGTATCGATACACACGTTTTATGACCAGAGTTCTACGACCGCCAATTAGTATCTTTTAATTAAAATAAGACAACGCGATTTGTTTAACATTTTATAGTTAATTAGCATTTAAAATTAAAATATACCTATTTTTACTAACGAGTCTAAAAAATATCGATCATTTTAAGCAAATCGATACCAGTATGTTGAAAAAGAAGAGAAAACTTATTTCTTTTCTTGTCTGTAATCTGGTGATTCTCGTTTTTTTTTTGATGAACTAATACCCGCATTGAGCATCTTCTCTTAAATTTAAACATGTTGGATTTATTAATGTCAAGATGAGTATTGTGTTGTATGTGCTGCCACCTGGTGTGAGAATTATGTGTTACAGATTCAAAATAAAAATCATTCATTCACTCGCTGGATACACTGTGTTTTACTTAGAGGTTATGGGCCCAGCAAGCATTTTGCAGCTAAAGCATGGCAGAAAAATAAAAAGAGATATGGCAACACTAACAATGGAACGTCATCAAAAGTCAATGTAAAAGATAAAAAAACGATCTATTGTTATCGATGTAAACAGGCCGGTCACTATAAAAACCAGTGCAAAATAAGTGAAAATACAGAAAATAAGAAACAAACAAACGCTTTTAGTGCTGTATTTCTGACTGCGAGTTTCAGTAAAGAAGATTTTTACATAGACTCAGGCGCAAGTGGCCATTTAACGGCAAATGAACATTGGTTGACGAATATTTCGACCTCACCGGGTTTGCGCGAGATTATTGTAGCAAATCAAACGAAAGTACCAGTGAAATGTTCAGGAGACATTAGGATTACTACAAGCTTTGATTACGAAGTTACAATAAGCAACGTTATGTGCGTACCAAGTCTCACAACGAATTTGCTGTCTGTCAGCGAATTGATTAGAAATGGAAACAATGTAGTTTTCGAATCGAACAAGTGCTGCATTTATAATGCCAAGAATGAACTTGTAGCGGATGCAAATCTCAGAAATGGAGTGTATAAACTTAATTTACGCTCTAGAGAGTTGGTTGCTATGGGGGGCAGTGACTGCAGAGACCTGGCATAGAAGATTAGGACACATAAATTGCAATGACATGCAAAAGATGAAGAATGGAGCAGTTGATGGTTTAGAATATAGTGGCAGGAGTGATGCAAGTAAATCAAATTGCATGGTTTGTTGTGAAGGAAAACAGTGTAGGTTGCCATTCACAAATGTTGGAGAGAGAAGCACGGAGACTCTCCAGATCATACATACAGACATATGTGGACCCATGGAACACAACACCATAGGTGGGTCAAGATATTTCTTACTTTTTGTGGATGATTACAGTAAGATGGCCTTTATATATTTCTTACATAAAAAAAGTGAGGTTATGAAGAAATTTAAAATGTTTAAGGCAATGGTAGAAAACCATCAGAATAAAAAATGAAGATATTACGCTCAGACAATGGACTAGAATACTGCAGCAAGGAGATTGAAGATTATTTGGCGCAAGAAGGTATCCTGCATCAAAAGACCAATCCTTATACTCCGGAGCAGAATGGTCTGTGTGAACGCTACAACCGGTCAGTAGTAGAAAAGGCAAGATGCTTGTTGTTCGATGCTGGGTTGGAGATAAAGTTTTGGGGTGAAGCAGCAAATACCGCTGTTTACATTAAAAACAGGTCCATAGCATCAGGGCTAAATGACAAGACTCCTTACGAGTTGTGGACGGGTCACAAACCAGATGTTAGTCATTTAAGAATATTTGGTAGTCGTGTCATGGTACATATTCCGAAACAAAAGCGGCAGAAATGGGACAAGAAATCCAAGCAGTGTATTTTGGTGGGATATCCTGACAATGTTAAAGGCTACAGGATATATTCAGAAGAAACAAGATGTGTAACTACAAGTCGTGATGTAGTTATAATGGAAGATCCACTAAGTTATAAGAAAGAAAAGCCAATTACAAGAAACCATGAACAGTGTCAGATCCATATAGAAAACGAAGATGTAGGGATATCTACAGTTAGTCAACAGTCAAGTCCAGGATGCTTGGATTTAGTGGGGGATCAGGATGACACAGTTACAGATAATCATGACAAGACCTACATGCCAGATGATTCTGAGGACAGTGAGACATCCTATGAAACTACAACAGGAAGTGAAGATTCTGTTATAGATTTAGGTACTCAGGCTACTGAAGGAAGGCCTGTAAGGCAGAGGAAACGACCTGAACGCTTTGGACTCTCAAACATGTGCGTCACGGAGGACTTGTTTGATGATGCCAGTGGGTTAACATTACAGGAAGCTTTACAAGGACCAGAAAAGCAACAGTGGTTAGAAGCAATAAAAGAAGAATTACAGTGTTTTGAAAATAACAGTGCGTGGGAACTGGTAGACAAACCATGTGACGGGACTCTAGTGCAGTGCAAGTGGGTGCTAAAAAAAAAGGTTGACAGTGATAAAAACATTCGATATCGTGCAAGGCTGGTGGCAAAAGGCTTTACACAGCGAAAAGGATTGGACTATGATGAAACCTTTTCTCCCGTAGTTAGACATACCACCTTGAGATTGTTGTTTGCAATGTCTGTGAAACTAGATTTAAATGTAACTCATTTAGATGTGACCACTGCCTTCTTAAATGGTGATCTTGAGAAAACAATTTATATGAAAAAGCCAGAAGGCTTTAATGCTCCTCATAATAATGGTAAAGTTTTAAAACTCAAGAAAGCTATTTATGGCCTTAAACAGTCATCTAGGGCTTGGTATAAAAAGGTAGATGATTGTCTTACTACTAATGGATATAAAAGGTCTAATATTGAACCATGTTTGTTTATAAAGCAGGAAGGTGTTTATATTACAATTATAGCATTATATGTTGATGACTTCTTTATATTCTCAAATAATAATGTAGAAATTAAGAATTTAAAGAGTGTGTTAGCATCTCAGTTTAAATTAAAGGATTTAGGTACAGTAAGAAGATGTTTAGGCATGGATGTTTATATTGATAAGGCTAAAGGTAGAGTAACTTTGTGTCAGAAAGATTATATAAGCCAGTTATTATCCAAATTCAATATGCAAGATTGTAAATGTGCTATGACTCCTATAGAAACTAAGTTAGATGTTTGTACTGAAAATTGTAAAGATAGTAAAATTACAGTTCCATATCAGCAATTGATAGGATCTCTTATGTACTTGGCGGTTTTAACACGACCAGATATTGCATATGCTGTAGGATATTTGAGTCAGTTTAATAATTGTTACACAAATAAACATTGGTCTTATGCAAAAAGAGTTCTTAGGTATTTAAAGGAAACTCAGAATTATGGCCTGGTATATAGTAAAAATAGTGAAAATAATAAGATAAAAGGTTTTGTTGATGCAGACTGGGCTTCAAACACCGTGGACAGAAGGTCATATACTGGCTATAGTTTTGTTTTGTCCGGATGTGTGATCTCATGGCAATGTAAGAAACAGAGAACTGTGGCACTCTCGAGCACAGAGGCTGAATACATGGGATTATCTGAAGCTTGTAAAGAGGCTATGTATCTCAGGTCTTTACAGTTTGAAATTACTAATGAACCATACAGTATCTTGTTATATAACGATAACCAAAGTGCAATTAAATTAGCTACAAATCCCATCTATCATAGGAGATCTAAGCATATTGATGTGCGCTATCATTTCTGTAGAGAAAGCATTGCCAATAAAATAATTAAATTAGATTATATACCTACTTCAGAAATGCCAGCTGATTTGTTGACAAAAGGATTGAATCGTGTAAAGCATTATTATTTCATGAAAATGTTAGGTATACAGGATTGTATCAAATTGGTCATGAAATGATGGTAAGTGTTGTACAATGTATTGTTTATTTTGATATAGTGGGGGTGTTGGATTTATTAATGTCAAGATGAGTATTGTGTTGTATGTGCTGCCACCTGGTGTGAGAATTATGTGTTACAGATTCAAAATAAAAATCATTCATTCACTCGCTGGATACACTGTGTTTTACTTAGAAAACAAACTTGTAAGTTTCTCACTTAATGATATTTTGGTTTTCACCTACAGATAAGGTTAGTTTAGGTGCTCCCTCACGCTAAGTAACTCGTGTTACAAGATGGTTAAGTGGTGGTTGGTAATCGCGGACATTAGTTACCTACTATAATTAATGACATCTTATTTAAATCTTTACAAGGTACATACCTACCTACATAGTTTCGTCTTTTTACACTCTCCTATCCACTGCTAAAGTGAATATCCAGTGTTTTTTTAAGGGGGGAAAATCATCGAATGACTGCTCCCACCTGGGTGAGGCGGGAGGGAGTGTCTCTTACTGACTAAAAACCACCCCGTTCCTTCTCCTGCATGTCGAGCCGGAGCCCCGGTTACCCGTTAGGTTCTCCGCGACATATCTAGTGTTTAAGTGGATAGAAGCAATACAATCAATCTGAAACATTAACTATAATTAAAGCACCTCCCATTATCTATTCCATCCATCAACGCTAAACATTGACATACACACTATATTAAGCTATGATAATCCAGTATAAACTGATCGTTGTATCTGCGAAAAGACCAAACAAAGCGAGACCAAAATAAACTGGATTTTATAACTTGATGTGCAGCCGTGTGTACACATTTGCTTCGGTAGAATATCCAACTTCTCATGGTCCCGCGTTGTATGATCGTTCCGTGCATTCAAAGGTCAATTTATATTGGTATTGAATAGCTTGATATGTAGAGTGTACTATTGAACACGATTCAGCAATCCTGTTCAATCAATATCATACACATCTAATGATGCGCACGTCCTATGATGTCTGTCATTTCAATTTGTGTGTTCAGCATTTCATGTGTAGGAACACTGAATAGATACTAGGCACTATCAACACATTAATTCAGTGTCATGCCACTATTACTGCTGAGTTGCAAACCAATTTGGTTTGCAGCTTTTGAAGGGAATTCATTTTGATGAAGTTATTAAGATAATTAAGATGTTAATTCGAGTAATAATAAAGTATAATAATTAAGTAAACTCCGTGCTGCTATTGAGAACCTATAATCTTAAAACCCAGCCTATAAGTGCTTACTTACTTGATATAAGTATAGTTTAAGGTCTGAATCACAATTTGACTGCACGGTTGGCGCGGTGGCTGGGCAACTGGCTGCCGTGCAACGTGTCGCGGTTTCGATTCCCGCATGGAATAACTCTTTGTGACATCCACAAATTTTTGCTCCGGGTCTGGATGTCACGTGTATCTGAAATTGTATGTTTGTAAACGCATAACTATAATATAAAAAAAGTTATTAAAAAAATATCACGAATATTTATGTTTTTTTCTACTTTACAGGTTTTGTCCGAGACTACACAGGCAGCTACGCGATAGCTTTCAACATGTTGACAGTCTGCAATCTGCTATGCGTACTACCATGGGCCATTGAAGGAGTAGTGAAATATAGAAAAAATAAGAACACTGCCAATAATCCCCCAAAGACGTAAAATATAATTTAGCATAATTCTGAGGAATAACTATTTTTTTATAAAACAATTTGATACTCTATTTAGACTTGCGATTATTTTCGTTTTGTGTGTATGAATGTCTTAGACGTACAATGGACAAAATATTCGGTGCATGGCAGAATTTATTTCGTGTTAAAATGAAAGTAATTTCAATATATTCAATATACAAAAGCAGTTACTATTAAGTAGCTCAGACATGTGTACATATTTGCAACGACTTTTAAAATAATTCATAATTTAAATCTGCCGGTTGCACTTTCTATTGTTGTTGAATGAATATAAAATAATGCAATTAGTTGAAACCTTGCATAATGGACAATATTTAAATCGTAAATTGTCAATTGTGTCGGTTTTTTTTTATAACTCAACACACGTTTAGTTATAATATACGATGAAATGCCGAATAATTAATTATAGTTTATTTTTAATTATGTTATAATTAGACTTAAAGGAAATGAAATTGTATATATATATTTGGACACTGCCGTTAGTAATAGATATATTTTAAGGTTAATTTTAGCCCAGGCCACTGACCTGTAGATATACAGTGTATTATTTAACTAAAAAACATATGCCATATCTTGCCGTAGTTAGTAAAAGACTATTAATATGTATACTCTGTATAGAATAAGATATAAAGAAATAGTCTTCGTTTTGCTAGTGTATTATAAGCTTAAATTATAAAAGAAATATTGTTGAAGGTAGAATTACTTATATTATTTTTATATAAATAAAGTCAGACGAAAATCTTTGTTTGGATATTTGGGTAAGATATATATATTATAATTTATTTTCGGAATATCTAGTCTGATTGTATATAATTAAAAAAGTTTGAACATTAAGGCTATTATGTAAATAAAATCGAGTCATTAAAAGTGTTACCTAATTTGGCTCAAGTATTTAAGGTGGCAACCGTAATTTTGTCAATTGTACTTTTTATAAAAAAATATCCAAAAAAATCCGACTGCTGGGTAAGGGGTCTCGGGCTCGATTCCCGGGTCGGGCAAAGTATTACTGTCTGGAGTCTGGAATTATATGGCATATAATTATGGCTTATAATTAAAATATATGGCAATGGGCTCACCCCCTATTACATGGGACTCATAAAATAAATAGTGGAAACTGGGTGTTACATTGTACAGTGGCATAATGTACACATTTGCCTACCCCTTCGGGGATAAAATGCGTGATGTTATGTTATGTTATAATTTTTTTTTCTTAGGAAGATTCATAGGTTACAAAAAATATTGAGAAAACTACATTTAGGACCTGTGTATAACTTATATTATTATAATTCTTATGTATTTGTGTTATCAATATATTATGTATATATAATGTAATATTAACCGTGAATCCTACGATTGACTGCGATAAAATTCCAGCAATGAAAATAAATAATTTGATACAATGAAACTGTTTTACTTTCTTCCTATTTTATTTACCAGACTTTTATGTTAAGGCAACCTAATGGGTAGTTTCCTAAATTTTATTTTAATGTCCGTCTGGTACGTTAATTTAAAACTTTAGACACGTCTTTTTTCTTTTCTAATAAAATTAAATACTTTCGACGATATATTAATTTGAAATATCGTGTGACGTCACAGCGTGTCACATTTTGTAGCACGTTATGACGTAACGAAACTCCTAAACTTAGCGTCATTTTATCAAGTATTGCAACTTAATACGAGAAAATAAAAAAATACGTGTCTAATATTTTTTCATTATCTAACTGACAGACTAATTAGATTTTTAATTTTGGTACCCTGGAAACTACCCAATGGGTGATATTTTAAATTTTCAACATACAACATAAATGACAATTACTTACGTAATTAATTGAATTATCGGATTTAGTTATCTTCTTAATGTTTATTATGATAACTTTAATAAAAATCGTATTCATTAATTTATTTGTTTTGTTTATTTAATACTTTTTGCACACTTTATTCTTTAGGGATATCTGGTGGCTTGACGTAGATATGGACTTAATGCCTTAGGCATTTTCTACCACCCTTCCGTACCTTAGGGTGGTACAGAAACAGAGCATGGTAGGTGTAATAAGCTACAAAGCTAAAACGACAAATAAAATAAAATATCAGTTACGAACATAGATGTATCATCGGGTATTCAAATATATTAAGATTTCCATACAGAAGTCTCACCTCTACTCATTCATGAAAGATTAAATTAATATACGTCACAGAGAAAAATATCAACTGTTTATCTTTGTTTGTGATAAACATAAAAAGTAAGTTCCATTAGAAGAATATGTAGAATTTCTACGATTAATAAATGAAGTATAAATACTCGACTATTTTTTTTTATATTTGATAGGCGTTTGATCACTATCTCGCCTGGTGGTAAGCGATAACGCGATCTATGATGGAGCACGTCGTCCTATAAGCAATCTAGTCACTCGGGCCTTGAAGACACCCAGGTTATACCCTACAGGAAATACAGACTCTGGCAAAGAATTCCACAAGGAAACTTGTACGTACTGCTAAGGACTCAGATATGTGTTGACTGTAGAATCCATAATACAGAATTCCTTATCCGTAAGTACTGTTCCAAAAGGTATTGAAAGAGACTTCAAGAGGTTACACATTTATGGGAGACCGCGGGATAGCAGTAGTCACTGATCGACCTGAATTCTAAACTGATTTCCCCAATCCCATCCACAACGGTCATGAATCTTATATCTTATACTATTATATAAAGGGGAAGAATTGTTTTTTTTGTTTGTTTGTTTGAACGCACTAATCTCCGTAACTACAAGACTGATTTGAAAAGTTATTTTTGTGTTGGATAGCACATTCATCGAGGATGGCTACCTATAGGCTATAAAACATCACGCTACGACCAATCGGAGCTGAAACCGCTCGGAAGTACCTAGTTATAGATAATGGTGATGATGCATATATTTGCTGTTGTTACAGTATTCAAAAATGGAATTTCATTCAAATATTCATGCCAGTTATCAATTAGAATAAAAATCATATTAAATAGTATTTAAACCAATTTAAACCAATACAGTTTGTAATAAGTTAATATGTAATAAGAATAGGGAATAGGTTTAATATCACCGTATAATATTTATATCAAATAACTTGTCATGTAAGGAACAGTACACACTGTGCAACTAATTTGGTACCGACTAAGGAGTAATCTTGATAATATTGCCGTATCAACAGTATCTGTGTATGTAATGTAAGTGAAAAAAGACGAAGATAACAAGCATTGATAAAGTCTACAAATTGTTGACACTAGTGGTTGAAGAAAAAGGCAAGTAAATATTTGTTACTAAACCACAGACATATTTAACAAATAAAATCGACAATAATATACTGGATGATGGCGTTTCTTTGCTTCTAAAATTACAACACAAATCCAACAGTCGAAGAGATATTAATAGAACAAACCGTCCTTTACTCAAAGGGCCTCTTGATGCGCATATTCATCGACAAAACACAATTCTTATTCACAAACACGAACGTATTGTCGTGTAGTGTGCGCATCGCGTAATTATTTATCAGCTGTCAATTTGTACTGTTTTTAACAGTCACAGAGCATATACAGTACTGAGTCAGTACATGTATTTGTTTATCACGGGTATCCGGCCAGTACAAGTGCGACGCTTATACAAGACGGTTTATCAGTGTCTGTGAAATGAGTGAATCGAATAATTTGAATTCGGTCGAAGAAGTTTTGCAACCAAAGAGAGAGACTTTGAGAAGTGTTACAGAAGATGTTTCAGAAGAAAAAGTGGATAGAAATAGCTGGGGTTATGTGGTCGGGTTTGGAACGATTATAACGTTTGTGAGTATTCTAGTTTTGGGTGGAGTGATTTAATTTAATAATAATAATAATATTCTTTTTAATTTATGAGTATTTAAACAAATTGTTTTAGTGTTATGAATAGTTTTTACAGCCTATTGGTCGCTAGTAAACTATTACTTGCCAGTTGTAAAGCGCATAAAGACTTATGTCACTTTTTAGAGGATCTGTAAAACAAAGACTCTATTGTTCCTTCTTTATAGGTTATGTTTACACAGACATATTTACTGACCTACAACTAAACTTGATTTTAATCATAAGTCTAGATAAATAAAGTCGATTTTAAAATGTAAATAAATCCTAAGAGCGTTGTGCAAATCTTGTTTACAATGGGGTGCATTGCTCTTGTTTATTTTTATCCTGTGCGGTATTTGTTGTAAATGCGAACATGTATGTTTTGTTTTTACTACCAATGGTTCCAGTTTCGAATGCATTCTTTTGTTCTTATTTTAAAATTGTTTTATTTTTTACTTTTACATATGATAGAACAGTTGTTCCCTCACATATTACAGAGTAGCTACTTCCGCGCGGTTTTACACGCTCTGCTCAGCTCCTATTGGTCGTAGCGTGATGTTTTATAGCCTATAGCTATCCTCAATAAATGCGCTATTCAACACAAAAAGAACTATTCAATTCAGACTTGTAGTTACGGAGATTAGTGAGTTTAAACAAACAAACAAACAAACAAAAAACAAACAAGTATATGATATCGCCATGTTTGTTTCCCTACTGGGGTAAACAATGACAACTTCAAATGATTCAATGCAATTCTACTCTTTTGTTTTTTATTCATTCATTAGTCTATTCATGCATACAGGTCAATTGCTGGTTTTATATATTGTAGTTTTAATTTAAATAAAAGAATTTTATTAACAGAATTGGTAAAGGGTAACACAATCCACTCCATGCTAACATTATGTTAACCTATTTAATATCTAGAGATTGCATTTACCGATCTACTAGTACCTAGCCTGGTCATTCAGCTATCACGCCATTACAGGTCCAATTGTCCAATAGAAGAATGATTGAATAATAGTCTGTTGTTTCAAAAGAGCAGGCTCATGTAGTTGAAGGAAGTTATAAAATTTTGGACTAGTTAGTTTAGTACCTACGATACTGATCCCTGGGTTGGGAAATGAGTATAATGTATTAGTCCCACACTAGGATTTTCACCTCTATAGAGCCACGGAAGACTTAAAGGGTTGCTGGGTGACTGGTGAGGCGAGAGGGAGTATCAGACGCTTACTGACTAAAAATCATCCTGTTCCTACTCCTGCACTTCGATCCGGAGCCCCGGCAAAATATTATGTAATTTTATAACTCGTTCATAGCCTTGAGGACACGTTAGGTATCGTGTTTCCGTATCAGTTGCATGCATGATGCAGTTTATAATTACATTAGGGCCAATAGATAGAATAAACATTAAACATAGATAGATTGCAGTGTTATTAATTACGACATTATGTATTTAATTGTGTAATTTTATTTAATTTAATATTGAATTGACAACACGGTTAGTGCGGTGGCTGGGCAACCGGATGCCACGCAACGTGTCGCGGGTTCGATTCCTGCCCGGAGCAACTCTTTGTGTGATCTACATATTCTTGTTTCGGGTCTGGGGGTCATGTGAATGTGATATTGTATGTTTGTAAACGCACCCACGATACAGGAGAAAATACTAGTGTAAGGCAACGTTTAAAAAAAAACTAACAAATTTAGAAGCGTATTTTATACCCAGTAAATAACATAGAAGTACAGTTTTGCACCAGAAAAAGTATTATGTATGATGAAAAACTTATGGAAGAAAACCGAAGCAAATAGTTAAAAGAAACTCGAATGAATAAATTTAACCTTATTCAAAAAAAGTAGAAAGAATTTTAATACTTTTGTTTAAGAATAGGAACTAAGTAATATTAATAACCTGTTGTATGTTGAAACACCGGCTCCCGGACACATTAGATAAATAGGCAACCTAACAAAAAAAAAAAATATAGATATTCCTGAACAATTCGATTGATTAATAAACTTGCGATTGATAGATTAATAATTCTGTAAACTTTGACCAACCGGAGAATCACACCCTCTTGTTCGGGAGTCTATCAGTCATTGGACAGTCTGTGTACTAAAAACAAAGTTAAAGCATTGAATTGATAATTTGTTGGAATCTTTGTTAAAAATGGGTCACAAACGACTTTCTATTCGATGGAAAATCACAGCTCAAGATTTTAGAATGCTAATCATTTGTTTGTTCTAAATTAATGCTGTGGAAATGAGTTAATTACGAGGTATTGAGGTGATTAGGAACAGTACGAGACTTGTGAACTGCTGCGAAAGACTTTCTCTCAGTCTCTGCCTGCCTCTTTTAATTAAATTATTATATAATAAAATAACCCGACTTCAAAACCGCCTAAAGAGTAACGAATGGAGTTTCTTGCTCGTTCTTCTCCACTCGAATCTACATTTTGGAACGAGCGCCTAGCTTCACTGACGGACAGACTGACAGACTATTATTTATTTTATATTTGTTGACATTTTGAAAGTACTAAATTGAAAAAAATGCTTTTGAGCTTGAGTTTGAGATTGAACCCTTTGAGAGAATTTTAGTTATTTTTATCCACAACTTCACTGCTACTACGAGCATATAGGTACTATACTTAAGAAACTTATGCACATTTCTGAATTTAGCTTTCTACATTATATTTATATTGTACCTAATGTACAGTGCTACTTACTCCTCCCCGATTAAAAGGTGTTATCTTATATAGTAAACCTTTCTATACCTTCTAGTTTCGGTTATGCGTGCGTCGCGTTGTTAGTCAACCAATTACTCAATACTCACACTAACGGAAGAGTCTCATATAAATTGATGAATCCGCTGGTTTCGAAGCCATTCCAATTATGAAACAGTATTTCATTAAATCGAATTCCATTTTCTAAATAAAACAATGAAACAAAGAACGTTCGTTCCACAATATTGTAATTAAATTGTGAAACCGATTCGAACCAAACGTTCGCGTCCCGTCCAAATAATTTAATTGCTGTTGACTTTGGTTAATCATTATTCGTTAAATATTTTGTAGCTATATTCTGGGTGTCTAGATAGGTATGAGGCGTTTGGGAGTGATTTTATTTCTACAATTAAGTAGACTGCCTCGTTGGTCGAGTGGTCACAAGTGTAAGGAGTTTCGGGTTCGATTCCCGGGTTGGGCACAGTATTACTGTTTTTTTTTAATTCTCAATAGTAGTACGGAGTCTGTAACTGTGCCCAGTATATGGCAATACGCTCACCCCCTATTACATGGGACTCATAACAAAAATTGTGAAAAGTGGGTGTTACATTGTACCTATAGTGGCTTAAGCGCTTAAAAAATAATCTCAGTATTAGCACGAAGTCTGTAATGGTGCCCAGTATATGGCAATACGCTCACCCTCTATTACATGGGACTCATAACATAAATAGTAAAAAGTAGGTGTTACATTGTACAGTGGCATTAAGTGCCATAATATGCACCTCTGCCTACCCCTTCGGGGATAAAAGGCGTGATTTTATGTTATGTTTATTATTTTAATTATATTGTACATATACTACATTGACACATACACTAGGTCAAGTCAAAGTCTGTTATTTTTCTTCTAATGTGTAACCCTTCATTTATCAGAATATAATTAGAATTGTCTAAAAACTTCTAAATACGAGACTCCACGACATTATTTCGACTTTAATCCAAAAATAATATTTAACCGTAACTTTAAAAATTATTAATCTAAAAGGAAATTATTGAAATGCGTGGGTTTTCTTTTCAATTTCAATGTTACTTCGACTGGAATTCATTCAGGTGCGAAATAACGAATTATGGAATTGAAGAATTGGTATATTTATCTTGTCCAACTCTTATCGGATTTGGAAATCGTCTTTAATAATGAATTTTCTTTACGTTTCCTAATTTCCTTCTTAATGTTACAGATTGCTGGTATTGGGCATGTGAATTCTTTTGGATTGATTTATAATGATTTCATTAATGAGACGCAATCGACTGCCAAGTCTTTAACTTCTGCGCATGGAGTTTTTTCAATAATGCTGGCTATTGGAGGTGAGTTTCTCATACTGTTAAAACTATATCTCAAATGATTACTGTAGGGGGGAAATTTTGGTCGAGTAGTCTGAATTACAGGCAATTTGGGTCATTTTTAAACCTACAGGTTCAAAAAATTCCCGTCTTATTTATTTTAAGGTTTACTTACTCATAGTAAGGAATGGAGTTTCTTGCTTCTTTCTTTTAGAACGAGTACTTACTTTAGTACTGAGCGGTTTATTTACAGTTAACATTTTTAAAAGAATGCTTATAAGGGTATTAAGTATCTTTCAAAAGATTTCTAAACACATCTTAATACAGTTTTTATAATAACTATTAAGCGAGAAACATACTGAAACAACTGAAAACTCACGTAAACAAACTGAGTTCTCTTCTCAGTTCTCAGTATTAATATTTTGTTACTTTCAGGAATAATACTCAATAGCATTACAAAGAAATATTCACTAAGAACAGGGGGCTTGATAGGAGCTGCCTTACTATGCACAGGTTCCTTCAGCACCATGTTCATAACGAACGCTAACCAACTGCCAATCACATTTGGCGTCTTCCAAGGGATCGGTTTCGGCATAATGGTCCCAGTATGCTACTCAACTTTGAACTACTATTTTGTAAGGAAAAGAACTACAGTAATGAGTATCTGCAAGGCTATACAAGGAGTGTTACTGATGTGGTACCCGCAGCTCATAAAGACGATCATGTCAGTATATGGGTTCAGAGAAACCTTGTTCTTATTGGCTGGAATGTCGCTCCACACTTTTCCAGGAATGCTATCAATGATCACTGACAAGAAGAAACCAAGAAACATAAGAACAGCAAGTATTTTTTCGTTTGAGCTTCGTAAATTGTGTGACGAATTTGTTTATGACATTGAATTTCATTAAATGTTTACAGATGATTTAGAAAGTAGGAAACAATGTGAGAATGAAGATCTGTTGCTTTCGAAAGACAATGAATTGAAAGAAGATCATAATAAAAGTGTAATGCTTCTCGAGAAAATTAGGTGAGATTACTTTAAGTACTTGTTTGATGAACATAATTATACGAATGGCAATACTGTTAACAAGGACGTCGAAAGAGGACGGATATAGATTCTTGAAACAACGACAGTGGCACCTGGCTACTATAGACTTACAAGCAGGAAACACACACATTGACACGAGGGACATTTGTCGCGTGACAATATTACGGTGTTGCACGCACACGCACACATAAATACACTACTGACATTTTGGTGCCTCAGTCATTTCTAAGTGACATTACGTCCACCTTTTTATCAAAGTCCTTGACTGTTAATATATTACTCATGCTTACTTGTCAAATATGAATATTCCAGCTAAGCCTTTTATCACAGCTTCAAATAAAGCCGGTATTTATTCCGAGACCAAAAATGTATACATTGTGTCGTACGCATTGTGCGTAGTTAAAACGTAATAGATACTCATGACAAAAATCGTATAATACAAAATTATATTTTGGGATATTGAAATCACGAAAATATAGTATCACAAATAATTCTAAATATAAGTTGTTATGAGTATAAAACAGATACAATTTTATCAATGAGTTTCTAAAAAACGCTGTCACTATCTTTTGTCTATTATTTTTTTTTTTTTTATAGGTATAGTATAATATTGTGGTGTTTGCTTTACAGACAGAAGGTCGTGGAAATATTAAACTTCAATATATTGAAGGATGCCGTCTACTGCAATATCTGTCTAGGACAAAGTTTCGTCAACTTTTCCGATCTCACTTTCTTCATACTACAACCGATGCTGCTGTTTCAATACGGATATGATAGGGTATGTTTTGTTTGTTCGATTCAATAACTATTTTAGTAGCTGTTCTACTTTCTAATTTTAAATAACTTTTCTCATCCCTACCATTGCATATTTTTAATAAGTTTGAATTAGTCTTTGTGGATTGAACTCATATTTCATCCAGATCGTGAAACTTTTAGTCTAGAGATGGTAGTTATAATTTGTGACATAAATAGTAGAATTTTTGCCGTAATTATTATAAGTATATTTCATGGTTGTAGCCATGACATAGTAAAAATATATAATAACCTACGTGTAGTCAATACAACTATGACTGGTTTACACTGTAAAGAAACCCTAAGGTCCAAAGGCCCAAAGGTCCTATTAGACTTATCGTGCCATCTCTGTCATTTTACAAAGAATTTGTGGAGACAGAACTATACTTAAGCGCGACTTAAAATTGAGTAGCGTTTGAGTATTCCGGCATTAGCCTATGTATGTATCCTAATAAAGATAGAACAGAAATAGCAAAAATGACAATAAATTTAATATAAAAAATATTTAAAACTTATTTACTCACGAGTCACATGTGACAAAAAATTGATATTTTCACAAGATTAGATACTGTGGAATCTTTTGGATGTTACTTATCATATGTCAATAACATTAATGTCATATAATACATATGTAGGACACATGCATACAGGATGTTGTGGGACTCAGTCGTCAATATAAACGTCAACAGAATAAATAACACAACAGATATCCAAAAGCTAAGAAGTCTATATTTTATCATCTGATATAGGTATATTAAATTTTAGTCAAACAAAAATGCGGACCTTGTTCCAGACACAACAGAAAAATACATCGTAGAAGTAACAAATTGTATGTGGAAAACATTTTAATGAAGATTTTTAAATATGTCTCTAACACCAAACCATACAGACTGACATGAATCAAAATCTCCTGCCTGTGTTCCAAAATTAAGTTTAGATATATACTATGCCCACAATATACCCATCCTTAAGATAATACTGGAAACTGAGGAGGAACCGGGTCTGATGTAAAGCTATAAAATACAGCCCATACGCTGCTTCAACCGGATTATTAACCTATTCAGCAAACTTATCCTTAAAGTAATTTGCATAAAGATATCATTTAGTTCCCAACTTAACCCCAGAGCTCCTGACGAAGGACGTTTGGCTGGTGCCTATAAAATGGGAATCGGGTTTATCATTTGCCCAGATAAACCTTTTGTGGATGACCTAAGAGATTTTTGGAATATATGATTTTTAGGAGGCATTTTTGAGACCCTATTGCTGATAGAAACGTAAAATAATATAGTAGGAATTCAGACGTAATAGAAGTAAGGGACGGTATAGCACCGTCGTAATTCATTGATTGAGTGACCGCTATAGCCTTTCCATAACAAACAGTGAACAGATTTATACACTTTTAGACAATTAGCAAGTAAATTGTTTAATGTGTTTTGTTATAGACACAAGTAGCAATGTGCATCTCCATCTGTGCTGCAGCAGACGTCGGAGGAAGGTTCGCCCTAGCCATTATCAGCAGCATCTTCAACATCAACACCAGAATACTGTTCTACTTAGCAACACTCCTCACCTTCCTAATCAGATTACGTACGAATATTTGTCTATCACTATTTCCTTATCATATTTGCTGTTTTGCAGCAATAAATGCTATCAGGAACAGATATCTTTCTTTGTTTGATGTTTAATCAGTCTGTTTGTTGATCTCTAAGTAAATATTTTCGTGTTGAAAATTTGCAGAATGGCCTTGAAGTAATGATATGTGTAGAGCCTAGTTGAGACCCTGACTTAGAAGTCTACTTTTAGGCGTTGTTTCATTGAATAACATTGAAGAGTTTATTGCTTATGAGCACCCCACACCTGACACCATGTAATGAAACGCACGCAAGTTGGTTAAACACTGACTTTTATTCAAACACCCTCACATACAATTATCACGGAATATTGACATACCGTCACTAATATACTACAGTTATCTCTTTTGAATTTTAAAATAAGAACTATTTTCAAACTGAGAAGCTGATCTTCATTCTTCTTTGCAGTCATGTTACAAATCACCCAATTCGTCTGGATGGCGACAGTCACTGGTGCCTTAGGAGTTCTTAGGGCCTGGCTACATGTAGCCAGTCCATTGCTCGTTTCCAATCATGTATCTCATGAAGACTTTCCTGGAGCATACGCAATGTACATGCTTGCTGCTGGCACTGTTAATGTTACTTTTTCTCCAGTAATAGGTAAGGTTCTGATTATCTTTTTTTTAAATACACTGTGTAATGTATTTTTATGGTATAGAGCGGCAAACGACCAAACGAAATAGTTATTTAATTGGCATCACGTATGAACACCTGCAACACCAGAGGAGTTACGCGTACTTATTTTGCTAGCCTTAGGCTTTAGATCCATTAAAAATATCGTAAATCACGTAGGTACACAAATTGAAAATCAATTTAATACTGTTATAATGCTTAATAATAAAACCAATTAAACAAAAAAGGCTACAGCAATTTTAGAACGATGATATCGATACCATTTTGTAAAAGGAAAATAATTAAAAACAGTGTCGGAGCAACTTCCCAGAATAAAGGCACTATAAAGAGGCCTCGCTCTAGATTTAATTACATGTTGCTACGTGTAACTTTAAAGCTTAGGAAAGCCAATTTTCTCTTTAGAAGTCGTTGGAGAAAAATCACTTCTCTGAAAACTAGCTAATACTTGTGTAGGTACAAGTATTTATGTGAAGGAAAGAGTAAAATTGTATTAGTTTTACTACTTTTTAATATATTAAAGACTGTCGTTTTTCCAACAAACATCATATATAGACTAAAACATCATTTCTCGAAGGAATAGGCAAAAAGGTACCAATAACGTTCGCTATTTCCTTTACCAGCTTTTCTATAATTATGTACCAGAAAAATCAAGGTACCTGATGGTTTTGAAGAAAGATATTCAAACCCAAGGGCTCCATTTGAACCCAACGTAGAAGCTAGGACCTAAACTAGATGCAATCATAAAAACATACTGAAATCTAGCGCGTTCCAGGAACATAAGTAACCTTCTTGGATCCTACTAAGATCAATATCTTATAAAAATTTAAACAATTACAATTACATTTAAGTTTAACAATTTAAAGGAGAAAAAGAAAACGATAGTTTAGGCATCATCTAAGCAAAGTGACTGTTAGATATTTATTGACTCTTGGTCTTATAATAGTGGCACTCGTCAATGTTGTAATCCTACAGTCGATTTCGATTAATAAACAAAGATATACTAATCCCAAAAAGATAACTTTACAATGATCTTTTTATAATAATGTAATAAAATTAATATCAGGTAATTTTCCAAATCGATAATATGGATAAAATTAAACTATTTCTTATCAATGGATGACTAATCGTTAGTATTTTATATATTAGTGACTTACGTAGATATGTTTTATTATTTACTTGTGGGAGAGCCATACTTCGGTACGAATGGACCGGCTCGACCGGAGTGATACCACGGTCTCATAGAAAACCGACGTGAAACGTTGTGTTTCGTCTTGTGAGTGAGGTTATTACCGGAGGCCAAATTACCCCCCCCCCCTCCTACAATAATCTCCCTAATCCCCGGATCCCCAACAGTTCTCAAATTCTTAATCCCCAAAACTCCACTAACGCACTTGTAAAGCCTCTGGTGTTCGAGGTGTCCATGGGCGACGCCGATTGCTTACCATAAGGTGATCCGTATACTCGTTTATCCCATAAAAAAATCCGGTGATAGTAGAGCAGAATATATTTGTCACACATCCTAATATAATTATTGATTAATTCACTATGAAATAGTAGATAATTTATATGTCTTTTTTTCAGGATTATTGAAAGATGTATACCAAGACTACGTACCAGCATTTTACGCTTTGACTTTGTGTTGTATTCCTTGCCTTTTATTCTGGCCTATTGAGTATGTTATTAGAACAAAGTAAATATTTAATATTTATACTATAAAACTATTACTAATTAATTATGTACAAAATAGTAACTGTAAGAAATAAAGTTATTTGTTTTAAAGTTAGTACCTTACTGTTTTATTTAAACTAATTTAAGATCAAGATTTATGAAATAACAATATTTACTAATATCAAGTAATTCAAGTTATTAGTAAGTCATCATAAGATAAGTAACCTGATTGTATTTAAGAGGCATAAAGGTTTGCTAGGGACATCTTGTGAGAAAAAATGGAAACGCTTATTTCATTTACAAATAAGACTAGGTGGTAGACTAGACTAGACACCCGAGCGTACGGCGTGTCGCGTTCCGCGCGCGCCTCAAAGAGCCATGAGACCACCACTGATGGGGTCCAACAGGGCTGATGCCGATTCGGAGTCGCGGAGAACCTAACGGGTTACCGGGGCTCCGGCTCGAAGTGCAGGAGAAGGAACGAGATGGTTTTTAGTCAGTAAGAGTCTGACACTCCCTCCCGCCTCACCCAGGCGGGAGCAGTCATTCGATTATATTCCCCCTTAAAAAAAAGACTAGACTAGACTTTGTAGCTAAAACTAATATTGAAGAAACCATTATAAAGTAACTTACATTTCTAAGAAGTACGTTGAGTATGTTTTTATTTTATATACATCAGTACCTTAGTTACTATAATTATTACTTGTATATACATACATAACATCACGCCCTTTATCCCCGAAGGAGTCGACAGAGGTGCACATTACGGCACTTAATACCACTGAACAATATAACACCCATTTTTCACTATTTATGTTATGAGTCCCATGTAATAGGGGGTTAGCCTATTGCCACCTATGGCACTAAATTACTTGTAAATATTTATTAGGTATACTTTATTCAGTAATAAAAACTTCATATCTTGATTTGTTTTCTTATTAAAGCATAGTTAATGAGTATTCTTGGTTGTGCGTGACCAATCTGTTTGTGTTAAGAATTTATTGTTATGCCTAGTAATCGGTAAACGGAACCTAGAAAATTACAAGTAAGAAAAAGTTACGTAATACAGACTTAAGTGTTTTCTTAAGAGGTAGTGGTTCAGTACTTGATAATAAATTGGAGCATAATAACGAGCTACTTCCACAGCAAAAACAGTTCTAAAAAATTGAAAGGATGTCTTGTTTGTTCGACGTATAAAAAATAACAAGCCTTTTATCCCCGAAGGGGTAGGCAGAGGTGTACATTACAGAGTGCTACTGTACAATGTAACACCCACTTTTCACTATTTATGTTACGTGTCCCTATGTAATAGGGGGTGAGCTTATTGCCATATACCGGGCACAATTCCAGACTCCGGGCTACTACTGAGAATTTTTACTTTGCTCGACCCGGGACCCCTTGCCCGGCAGTAGCACTTGCGACCACTCTGCCAACGAGGCAGTCATTATCAGTCAGTATTTGTTCACTAAATATTATAATTTTCACTAAAACAGCATGAATTCAAACAATAATTGTTTGCTAGTCTGTATCACAAAGTGGTAGTAACATAATATGAACTACATAAGGTCTAAAAATAAACATTTGTCTACTCCATGGAGGTTTCATCGTCACACGTGTGATATTATTTACGTGTTTGTGTCACCCATAATCAGGCTTCAGAAAAGGAAAAAAAAAACATAAATCTTCGTCTGGAAACAGGGACCGATGCCTTTTTGCACTCAGCGGAGCATAGGGTTGAAACACTGCCAACTGCCACCACGGTCTATGTTCACGAATAATATCGGACTTTCGAAGTTTTCAGTCGATTCGGAATCGAAAGCTGTCATTTTACAATTTATTATCGCGTAAAATGGGAGTAAAGTTTAGTAGCTAGAATATTTTTTTATATCACAACGATTTAGAGAAAAATCTCTTGTAATTGAAATAAAACATACTACGATAAACCAGATACAAAATTGAAAGTCGACATAAATCAAGGAGATACTCCCAAAGGTATATCAATAGTACCTACCTAATGTATAATAGTATACCTTGTATACCGACCTTATTTTGCCGTACTATTCCAAAAGACTACACATTTTGTCAAGATCTCTGGGGGTTCCTTTTTAGATTTTTGACTGCGTGCCATGACTGAATATTTCCAAACTGCTTGATTAAATAATAAATCCTCCGGCTGTTTAAAACTGTCAAATGTGGAAGAACCATGCTTCGGCACGAATGGGCTGGCTTGGCCGGAGTGATACCACGGCCTCACAGAAAACCGACATGAAACAAACCTTGTGTTGTGTTTCGTCGTGTGAGTGAGGTTACAGACGGCCCAATTAACTCCCGCCCCATTCCCCAATCTCTCCAATCTCTGAATCCCGACAATCCTCAAATTCCTAATCCCAAAAGGCTGGTAACGCACTTGCAACGCCTCTAGTTTTTCAGGTGTCCATGGGCGACGCCGATTGCTTACCATCATGTTGATGACGCTCATTTACCGTCTTATCCCATAAAAAAAGAAACGTAAAGTAGTCAAACGAATGACTTCTCAATAAACAAGACTATAACAAACCGTCCACTAGATTCGTCGCTTCATCAATTTATTTACGCGGAGTCCCCGCAAAAATAGTCAAGTAAAATATATCAGGCACTTTTTCAGTATTAGGTACCTCAGAATTACGTGGGACCCTTTGAAGAGCCCTCATTATTAACCCTTAACGTACGGGGGCTTTTGAAATACCTGCCTTCAGCCAACCTTAGACCGCATCAATCTTTTCAACACTTTCTTATTACCCTTTTTGTATCTAATCGGTTTTAAACGTGCGGGGGTTTTTGGAATATGACGGGTGGGTTGCGCGTTCTATTTTTAGATTTCTCGTGATTCATTTTTAATATTTATCAGTTTAATGGTAGATAGCGTGGGTAAGTGCCTTCTGTATAGTGTACTATATTATTCGATGGATAGACGACAGCGTATTACGCAGTTTTAAAGACTGAAAATATAACCATCTTATTAGCGAAAAGAATCAGTTTCGTGTTATGATTTTATAACATAACATCACGCCTTTTATCCCTGAAGGGGTAGGCAGAGGTGTACATTTCGGCACTTTATGCCACTGTAAAATGTAACACCAAATTTTTACTATTTATGTTATGAGTCCCATGTAATAAGGGGTGAGCCTATTGCCATATACCGGGCACAATTCCAGACTCCGTGCTACTACTGAGATTTTTTTAAAAAACCCAGTAATACTTTGCCCACCCTGGGAATCGAACCCTTGCCTGGCAGTCGCACGTGGGACCACTCGGCCAACGAGGCAGTCATGATGATTGATTTGATTTTATAACTATTAAAATTTCTCCGTCCTTGAAATAACAGATTTGATATTCAGATTTTTGTCATATACCGACACAACAAACTACAATGAGCAGTATCTATCTTACTCACTAATACAAACAACTTAAGCAGATGTTTTTATAAAAACTATACCAAATTAATAACCACAGAGGGGTAATTCAGTATCAGCATATTCACGTGAGTAACCCGCGATTTTAGTTAACTTAAGCAGATTTAAGCGATAAATTCAGCATTATTCAAAATCCGGCATTATTCAAAGCTCTTGCATAAAACAACCCGTTCCGGTACATACTTGACTAGCTAAGCGGATTATCGGCACATCTTGAAATGCATGGAGGAATCAGCTAAAAGGGAACCAGTAAAATTTATTCATAGAAACCCGACAACTTAGTTTGCTCTGCATCAGATTGGAGTCAGTATGCAATCAGCTTTTATATTTAGTAAAATGTTTTATTGATAGAAATTTTGTTAACGTATTGCATAAATATGTCAGTCAGGATTCCTTATAATATGTAGACATAACAAAGCGTCATATATTATGCAGATTTGTGTTTATTTAAGCTAAACCTTATTACGGTATAGATACTGTCTCGATTGGGTACTTTCCTTAATCAAAAATATATTATTTTGACAGTTCAATACAAGAAAATATTAAAAAATAATCACATGTTCATTAATCGGTTTTGTGATCAACTTAATTTTAATTTTAATCCAGTAATTTTTTAAGAAATAAGTATGCTGTTTGACGATAAAAAACACGGGACGTCACTACACAATCTAGTACAAAATTCAAATTTCGAAATAAAACCTTAAACTCTTTATTCACTGGCCACGAGTACTCAGCTAACACTGATGTTATGATTAACCAGTAACTACATGTAATAGGCGGATATAAAACTGAATTACATAAAAATAACATAACATAACATCACGCCTTATATCCCCGAAGGGGTACGCAGAGGTGTACATTATGCCACTGTAAATGTAACACCCACATTCCACTATTTATGTTCCCATGAGTCCCATGTAATAGGGGGTGAGCCTATTGCATGTACCGGGCACAATTCCAGACTCCGTGCTACTACTGAGAATTTTTAAAAACCCAGTAATAGGTACTTTGCCCGACCCGGAAATCGAACCCAAGACCCCTTGCCCGGCAGTCTCACTTGCGACCACTCGGCCAACGAGGCAGTCAAAGTAATTACATAAAAATATACGTACGTAACATGTAGCTGATACGTTTTAGTCGGGTCGATGATTTTCCATTAATTTCAAATCGGATTTACTCGCAGACGTAAACTTCCAAACACGTTAGATATTATACTAAACTAATATTCCGGATTATATTAGAGAAGAGCCTTAATAATATCCAATGTTATAACGGTTTAACTGTTATGAAACATGTCGGATCAAATAATTTGAAGCGAATTTGGTATGCTTACCTATATTAAAAAGCGATTGTTATGCGGAGACTGGAAATAAAATCAACTTCGGTAAGTATTTGTACTCTATAGGTAATTCTGATAGCCATCATTTTGAAGAGGGCACACTTAGCAACAAAGCATGCAGGTAGAACGACCAAACGCCAGTGATTCATAAAGATAATGAGGTAATTCCGAACCATACTTATAATTGGGATTATGATTAAAAATCCAATTAGTCCGTGACACGTATTTTTTTATT